GTCCGAACTAAATCATGAAATGAACCAGGCCTCATGTAGAGAAAAAGAAAGATTGAAAATCAATAGTTAGTCTCTCTTGTGTTACTTGAGATTTTGCCTTGCCCGAGGACGGGCAAAGTTTAAGTGTGGGGGGATTTGATGAGACCAAAAAGAACCCTATTTCTATGAGCAGAGTCCACTTTTGGTCCAACCGAGCTCTCTAGAGAGCCTAGTGTAGAATTGTATAGTTTTTTCCAAATTCCTATTGAGTTTGATTGTATCTAGTCCAGCCTTGATGAATATCCCTGGAGTCATGGCCGAGATGTTGTTTGTGTTTTTGAAGAGGCGCTGATCGTCGACCACTGATTTCTCCTACTTCCTTTTATTTCTTTGGTGTTGTCTTATTACGATGTCGCCTTAGGTCAGCTTCACCCCAATGCTGTCCAGACTCTGGTAGGGCTGATCTCCTTGTGCCACCACTGTGGCTTCCCTTTAGACTTAGATATTTTCTCCGGGTTGTGCACTATGAAGAAAATTCCCAGTGTTCCTTAGTGTTTCTACCTTCCCTTTTGCGGTGGCTATAAGGTGTTGGTCGACTTTCCCTCTAAAATTAATGATCGGAAGAGTAGGTACTTCTTCCTATTTTGTAGTAGTGGCTAGAAGATGGATATTGTTTGGCGAAGGGATTGTCGGGGTTTCAGTGTAGAGTTCGACAGAGAGCTGTGAGTTGTGGTTCAGGATTTTGTCTGCCGGAAGGTTCTTGTAGAAAACCTTTTGGCCGAGCTTGAGTTGTGTAGGTAGGTCGGCCTTCAAGTCTTTTGTATATGCTTTTGGTATTTTAATGATTTTTTAGCTCGGCTAACCCCTCTTTCCCTTTTTTAGATATGGCGAATATGGAGTCAATGTTGGTGGTGTCTAAAAGGAAAGCTTCGAGGAAGAAGCGAAGGATCGAGTGTCATTCATCAATGGAGGGTACGTCGGCCAGCGTCGAGGTAAGGTTGCCGTCATTCGCCCCTCTTGTCGTTGACCTCGAGGGAGGCGACAACCTAATGAGTACTGACCGGGACTCCATGGGTCCAACTGCCTTTCAACCTTAGGTCGGCCAAGAGGAATGTGTTGTTGGCCCTTCTACCTCAGACATACCTTGCTTTGTCCCGCACGTCGACATCTCTGTGATCGATCGTGTAGCTGACCCCTACGTAGCTCTTCGGATGGCAAGGGGCATGTTGCTTCCTAAGGGTGTGCGGTATTACCGTGGCTTGGACCTGGTTGACGTTGGGACTCAGATGACTCGTTGTATAATTCAGGTTTGTCTTCTTTCGAAGCTTGTCTTTCGGTTCTATGACTCTTGTTCTAATCATACCTTTCTTCTTTTGGTAGGTGAACACCATGGGGCAGGTACTATTGGATCAGGTCGCTGCAAGCTAGAAAGAGAGAGGTGAGCTGCAGGCTAGTGTTGATGCGTTGCAGTCTCATATGCGTGAGATCCAACTCAGTGCTGGGGAAGACCGTTAGTGATTCATTGAGCTGAGCGGGAAAATGTAGCGTGAGCTGGACGAGGCCCGAGAGACCATTGCCGCCTAGGAGCGCCAACTGGAAGAGAGGCAGACCAAGTATACTGAGGATATCTGTTGAGCCGAGGTGGCAGCCATTGATCATTTCCATAGCTCTCTTGAGTACACCTAGGAAAAATTGGAGTGTTCAATCCCCGTGATGCAAAAGGGGTTCAAACTTTGCCGCCACTACTTGAAGACTTTGCACCCCGATTTCAACTTTGGCACTTTCTCTATGAACGATGTGCCGAATGAGCTTGTCATGCAGTCAATGGGGAGCCCTTGACTCCTGATGAGGGTGAAGAAGTAGATGGCAAAGAAGAGGGCGAGGAGGGCAACGACGCCGACGACGAGCTGTAGGGCGGTGATGAGGAATAGGTTGATCTTATTGGTTTCTTTTCCTTCTGATGTTTCCAAGAGCCTGCGAGCTCCTATAAGTTGATATCTCTTGGGCCTGCATGCCTTGAATGTTGGACTTTCTATTGTTGAGTTTTTTTACATATATGTACCTTGGGCCTTGGCCCCAATTACTTAATGAAATTTAGTTTTCTTACATCTGATATCTTTTTGAATGGAGCTTCTTTCTGCTTATCTGTCACGCAAGTCAGTCAAACTATCGTTAGATCAGCTAGGTGCCTTAATGTGAAGGCTTTCTTTTGGCCGAGCTGTTGAGAGGTCAGGTCGAATGCCTTAGCGAATTTTCGTGAATTTTTGGTCATAGCTCGGAACTTTTCTTCTATGCTTTCTTTTGGCTGAGTTGTTGAGAGGTCGGTCCAAATGCCTTAGCGAATTTTTACAAGTCCGTGGACGTAGGTCGGAACTCTTCTTTTCAGAGGTAGTATCTTCTTAGGTTGTCTATATTCCACGCATGGGGTATCACCTTCCCCTTCAGCGTTTTGAGCTGTAGGCATTTTCACCTATCACCCTAAAGACTTTATAAGGGCCTTCCTAGTTCGGTCCTAGCTTTTCCAAACTGGGCTCAGGTATTATAACCTTTCTGAGTACTAAGTCACCAACCTTGAATTGGCGTTTCTTAACTCGGGCGTTATAGTACCGAGCCATTCGCTGTTGGTATGTTGCGGTTCGAATGTAGGCCAAGTCTCTAACTTCTTCTATCAAGTCGAGGTTAGTCTGTAGATCTTCCTCGTTAGTCTCTTCATCGAATGTGTCGGACTGTAAGGTCGACACTTTAATCTCTGTCAATATCATGGCTTCTGTTCCATATGTAAAGTTAAAGGGCGTTTCACCTATCGCCATCTTGATGGTCGTTCAGTAGGCTCATAACACACTGGGCAGTTCATCTACCCACAAGCCTTTAGCTCGGGAAAGCCGGGATTTGAGGCCACAGAGGATTGCCCTATTCGTTACCTCGGCCTGACTGTTAGCCTACGGATGAGCGGCTGAGGTGAAGTTCTATTTTATCCCCATTTCCGCACACCAATTCTGGAATTTGATATCTTTGAATTGCTTGCCATTGTCTGAGATCAAAACCTTAGGTAATCTGAATCTACAAACAATGCTTCTCCAAAATAAATTCTACACGTTTTTAGTTGTAATGGTCATTAGTGGCTCGGCCTCTACCCACTTCATAAAGTAGTTGACTGCTACCACCAGGAATGTTTCCTGTCTAGTTGTTGGCGGGAAGGGGCCCAGTACGTTGATCTCCCATTGTGCAAATGACCACGGATTGGTAAGGTACTTTAGGTTGGCAGCCAGTTGGTGCAAGATGTTGGCATGTCGTTGGCATTTGTCGCATTTCCACACTAGCTTGATCGTGTCTGCCTTCATTGTGGGCCAATAATACCCTTGCTACAAGGTCTTTTGGGCGATCACTCTACCCCCCAAGTGTCCTCCATTGAGTCATTCATAAATCTCATGTAAAACCTGGTTTGCTTCAGCTCGGTGCAGGCAGCGTTGGTAGGGTAGTGTGAATGACCTTCTATATAACTACTTCCCTATGATCACGTAGCAAGCTACTTGTCGCTCTATCCTCCGTGTTGTGTTATGCTCTTTCGGTAATATTCCATGGTGCAGATAATCACTGAGCGGATTTATCTAGCTCAACTCTGTTGTCATCACTTGGACAACTTCTTCTACCACCCTTTCTATAGATGAGTGTGGTAAGTCCTCCATGCAAGAGTTCCCATACCTTGGCTAACTAGGCCGATATGGCGGGTTCCTAAGCCTCATACTATCCATTCACTTGGTTGATCACGAGCTGAGAGTCACTGCATACCACAAGATGTTTAGCCCTGACTTCCTTTTCTAGTGATAGCCCGGCTATAAGTGTCTCGTACTCAATCTCATTGTTCAAAGCTTAGAATAAGAACTGGAGCGCGTATTCTAGTTTTACTTCGCTAGGCCCATAGAGGACTAACCTAACTCCGCTTTCACTCTGGTTGAACGAGCCGTCCACATGGAGTATCTAGGGCTCCTTGTCCCAGGCTGGACTCTCCCGAGCTGGGGCAGGTACTGCGTTGAGGCCTCCAAAGTGGTTTCTAGCTCGACAACTTTAGGGGTTGGCGAGTTGAAGGTACACTCGATGATGAAGTCTGCTAGGACCTACACCTTGATTACTGGTCACGACTCGTACTGGATATCATATTTGTTGAGTTTGATTGCCCACTTCTTAAGTCTCCCTAAGACCTCAGGCTCCTGAAAGATTTGCCTTAGAGGCCGATTGGTCAAAACTACGATAGTGTGAGATTGGAAGTAGGGTCTTATCTTTTAAGCCGCTAACACTAGAGCAAAGGCTAGTTTCTCTATGTTCAGGTATCTAGTCTCGGCGGCATGTAGTACTTTACTTACATAGTACATAGGTCACTGAATCTTTTCTAATTCTCTAACTAGGACCGAGATAACTACCTCATCACTCGTGGAGCAATAGAGCTTGAGCTCATCCTCGGTCTCAAGTCTAGTCAATAAGGGTGGAGAACTTAGGCATTGTTTCAACTCATCAAAGGCGAGCTAACACTCTTTGGTCCACTCAAAGTCTTGGTTCTTTTTAATTGATTTGAAAAATCGTAAACACCGCCCAACCGTATGTCTAGTATTGCCTGGATTTTTTCTATGTTTGCTTTGATGCCACGTCAGCTAACTATATATCCAAAGAACTTACCCGACATCACACCGAAGGCGCACTTGTTCGGGTTGAGTTTCATGTTGTACTTTCTTAAAACATTAAAAACACATTCCAAGTCGGCAATCAAAGAATTTGAAAACTAAGTTTTGACAACCATGCCATTTACATAACACTCTACTTTATTTCTAATTAAATTTGAGAAAACATTGTTTACAAGTCGTTGGAAAGTTGCTCCAGCATTTTTAGTCTGAAGGGCATGACTTCATAATAGTACAAGCCCATCTCGGTTACAAAGGCAATCTTCTCTTCCTCAGTCAGGTCCATAGAGATCTGGTTATAGTCAGAAAATGCATCCATGAAACTCAACAGCTTGAACGCTGAGGTCGCATCTACTAGGCGGTCAATTTGCGGGAGAGGGAAGCTCTCTTTCGGGCATGCTCGGTTCAGGTCAATATAGTCGACGCACATGCACCACTTGCCATTGGCCTTCTTTACTAGTATTGGATTCGCAATCCAGCTTGGGTACTAGACTTCTCTCACGAAGTCTAGTGTAAGCAGCTTCCCTACTTCTTTGTCCACTACTTTCCATCTTTCCGGGGTGAGGTTTCTTTTCCTCTGCTAGACTGGTCTGATTGTGGGGTCAACATTTAATTTTTGAGTTATTATTTTAGGGTCTATCCGGGCATTTCTGCTGCTGACCAAGCAAAAACATCTAAGTTATTAAGTAGAAAACTTACCAAGTTGGAGCGCACTGGTTCAATTTGTCGAGCCCCTATTTATACCGTCTTCTTTGGCTTGGTCTTTGAGACTAGCACTAGGATGGTATCTTCCATGTGCCGAGCTCACTCATCTATGTTCTCAGGAGGCGGATCCAGGTCGATGTCAATGGCAATCTTGCCTTTCACCTTCAGGGCTGCTATGTAACACTTGCGAGACTCTAGCTGGTCGCCTCGCATGACTCCGATACCTCCAGTAGTGGGGAACTTTATAGTCAGGTGGTACGTTGATACTACCGCCCGGAGGTCGTGTAGGATAGGTTGGCCTAGGATGACGTTATACGGGGAGGGAGTGGCGACCACTAAGAAGTCGTGATCAAACTGAACTATGTTGGGGGGTGACCTACTGCAACTGGTACCCTCACCGGACCTAGGGGCCAAACTACTTCCCCGCTAAAGCCGACCAGGGGTACATTTGTTGGCTGCAAATCTTTTCTGCCGAGCTCCATGCGCTTGAATGCTTCCTTAAAGATGATGTCGGTTGAGCTCCCTGAGTCGACCAAGATTCTCTTCACTTCGAAGTCATTGACTAGTAACTTATCCACCAGGGCGTCATTGTGCGGATATTGTATTCCACATGTGTCAACTTTTGTGAAGTATATCACTTCTTCTTTTCTGGGGTGCTTTGGTGGATGGTTGTTGTCATGCTCAAGTTTTCTAACAGAGTTCTTCCCCGCCGAAGTAGTACATCTGACCACTATATACCCTTCGTTGATCATGTTAATGACCCCTCGGATAGGTCGCTCTTGTTGTTGGTTTTTGGGAGCTGGGTCTCCATCTTGTTCCCTACTCATCTGAGGTGCCTCACTGCGTTGCTCGGCAGGTTGGCCTTCTTCTTCTCTCTTTACGAACTATTTGAGGTACCCGCGTCAGATTAGTTCCTCGATCTCATTCTTCAGGTTCCAACAATTCTTAGTGTCGTAACCTATGTCATAGTGGAAATGGCAGTATTTGTTAGGGTTTTTGTTAGTGGGGTCGCCCTTCATCCTAGGCGACCACTTTACATACTCTACCGATTTTATTTGCATTAGTATTTCTCCCCTTTTCGCATTCAAGGGGTATATGTTTTAGTGTATAAGGGGGGAGTTCCAGATCACTGGCCTGATCTAGAGCTCTGATAAGGAGACCTGCTTTTTCTTCTGGGTGAGCTGCTTTGTCGACTTCTTGGTGATTGACTTCTCTTTGGAGACTTTCTTCTCCTCTTTGACTTGTTGCTTCCTTCTTATTCTTCACTTTGCTTCCTCTTTCTAGACAATTCTAACCGCGATCCCAAGGCTTCTTCTACTTTTATGAATTTGTTCGCAATTGCAAGGAATTTCTCCCTGGTGGCTAGAGGGTTCAGTTCCATCTCCCAGCGTAGGTTGAGGTGACGTAAGCCGTTCTTGGCTGCGGTGAGTTGCATTGTTGGGTCATAGAACTAGCACGCATCGACCCTAGCGAGAGCCACTGTGGGATCGACCACAGGGGGAGGCGCATTCACTGGTGCGATGGTAAGGTTTAGAGGGACTTCTATTTGTCTGATGATCACTGAGGGGACTTCTGGGATCATCCCGAGATGCCTAGTGACTTGATTGTTGTTGTTGGAGGGCTAGTTGCTTGAGGATGCCATTTGTGTTAGGATGTTATGAATAAAAGGATGAGAACTTAAGCTTTTGTGTCGTTGTTCCCATAGATGGCGCCAATTGATTGTTAGACAGTTTTGTATGCCCTTAGCTTCAATCAGAATGATGTACTTTATGAGTTTATTGTAAATGAATAAAGATACATATTTGATTCAT